TTTTTTTTTTTTTTTTTTTTTTTTTTTTTTCTTTTTTTTTTCAGAAATGTTACAAATAGTATTGGCTGAATTCTTTGAGGATCGTCGTATGATTAAGGCAGCAGATGCAGTATATAGGAATGCATTAACCTCCTTAGTCTTGCAGCCAGCACAGGCACAAGGAGGGGGCCCCATGGGGCCCATGGGGCCCCTATCTACTCAGGGGGCCCCTGTACTCCTCACCAAATATCTTCATTTCATACGCAGGTCTTATGTAAGTATCACCTACACCTCCTAGGGTTTAGGGTTTAGGGTTTAGGGTTTAGGGTTTAGGGTTTATACCGTATATATGCTAATTTGATGAATATGTAGCCTCATATGATGGCGTTTTGTGTGTTTTTTTCTCCTTTGCCTGAATTAAAAAATTAGGGTTTAGGGTTTAGGGTTTATTTATGTTGCAGGGAATAGGAGCATGGCGTGCATGTTTTAAGGAAATAAGTGAATTAGATATATGTAGTTGGGAGGTTTATATAAATCAGGCAGAAACAGAATTATATTTAAATAATAATTGCATGCATGCATTAATTATATTAAAAAAAGCAAATAATAAATATAATTCTTTTCCTCCTTTTATCGCTAAATATGCTGATCTACTTATACATATGAGGCTTCTTGATGGTAAGCTCCTGTTGCTGCTGCTGTTGCTGCTGCTGCTGCTGCTGCTGCTGTTGCTGCTGCTGTTGGTGTTGGTGGTGGTGGTGGTGTTGTGGCTGATTGCTGTTGACTGTTGCTGCTGTTCTTTCTTCTGCTGCTGCTGTTTGTACCTCTACCTCTACTACTACTGCTGCTGCTCCTACTGCTGCTCCTGCTGCATTTGCTGCATTTGCTGCTGCTGTTGCTGCTGCTGCTGCTGTTCCTTAGGTGCTCGTGAATTATTAAGAAGAAGTGTATTAAATATACAATCTGAATTAGGGACAGGAAGTCGTCTTCTATGGAAGAAATGGATACAATTAGAGCAAAATTATGGCGATGCGTAAGAATATACACTCCACCAGCAGCAGCAGCAGCAGCAGCAGCAGCAACAGCAGCAGCAGCAGCAGCAGCAGGAATAATATTTTTTTTTTTTTTTTTTTTTTTTTTT